TATTCATCCATGTATCCTGGGCAGGGGAAGATTCCTCAGCTGCTCAGATGCAGTTTTCCCACAGAACCTGACTTCCTCCACTGTGATCGTGGTAGAGTTTGTGTGTTTTTATTTGTTTAGTCTTTGTGATATTGAACTGTCTGGTGTCCCTTTCCTTGAAGAACAGGACTGGCCTGGGGCAGCTTTCACTAGAGTTTCTCATGAGAGGGAGGACATCATGGGATAAGAGGGAAGGTTCTCTCATGGATTGGTAACTGGTTAAAAGATAGGAAACAAAGGGTAGGGATAAATGGTCAGTTTTCAGAATGGAGAGAGGTAAATAGTGGTGTCCCCCAGGGATCTGTACTGGGCCCAGTCCTATTCAATGTATTCATAAATGATCAGGAAAAAGGGGTAAAGAGTGAGGTGGCAAAATTTGCAGATGATACAAAACTACTCAAGATAGTTAAGTCCTAGGCAGACTGCAAAGAGCTACAAAAGGATTTCACAAAATTGGGTGACTGGACAACAAAAAGGCAAATTAAATTTCGTGTTGATAAATGCAAAGTAATGCACATTGGAAAACATAATCCTAACTGTACATATACAATGATGGGGTCTAAATTATCTGTTACCACTCAAGAAAGAGATCTTGGAGTCATTGTGGATAGTTCTCTGAAATCATCCACCCAATGTGCAGCGGAAGGCAAAAAAGCGAACAGAATGTGGCAAATCATCAAGAAAGGGACAGATAATAAGACAGAAAATATCATATTGCCTCTATATCAATCCATGGTACACCCACACCTTGAATACTGCAGGCAGATGTGGTCGCCCCATCTCAAAAAACATCTATTGGAATTGGAAAAGGTTTAGAAAAGGGCAACAAAAATTATTAGGGGTATAGAACGGCTTCCGTATGAGGAGAGATTAATAAGACTGGGACTTTTCAGCTTGGAAAAGAAGCGACTAAGGGGGTATAGGATAGAGGTCTATAAATTCATGAGTGGTATAGAGAAAGTAAATAAGGAAGTGTTATTTACTCCTTCTCATAACACAAGAACAAGGGGCCACCAAAGGAAATTAATAGGTATCAGGTTTAAAACAAACACAAAGTATTTATTTCATGCAATGCACTGTCAACCTCTGGAACGCCTTGCCAGAGGGTGTTGTGAAGGCCAGGACTATAATGGGGTTCAAAAGGGAGCTAGATAGACTCGTGGAAGATAGGTCCATCAATGGCTATTAGCCAGGATAGGCAGGAATGGAGCCCCTAGTCTCTGTTTGGCACAAGCTGGGATTGGGTGACAGGGCATGGATCACTTGATGATAACTTGTCTGTTCATTCTCTTTGGGGCACCTGCCATTAGCCACTGTCAGAGGACAAGATAGTGGGCTTGATGGACCTTTGGTCTGACCCAGTATGCCCGTTCTTATATCCCTATGATGTGTCCTGGTCTTTCCTAATTGTACCTTACTTGGTGATTCATGATATTTGACATTCACCATAATTTCTGACATGGGAACACTCCAGATTAGGGCAAAGAAGGAAACAGAGAGCTAAAGCGTGTGTGATTTCTGTTCCAAATTCTGCCCCCCAGTCGGCCCCAGGCCCCAGTGCCCGCCTCCCTGCTGTTCCGCACAGACTCTGCGTGGTTTTTGTTCAGCTCCCCTGCCGGTCCCTGTCACTGTGTCTCTCACGGCGCAGTAATAGGTCCCGGAGTCGCTCAGTTCGCTGGCCGGTTTCCACAGGTGGAAGGATTTGTGCTTTTTCTCGTGGGTGGCATCGAACTCTTTTCTGATCCCTTCATCCGAGTCCTCCCTTCCCAGGTCCCTCAGGAAGAGCCTGGGGGGCTGGCTGGGGGACTGCAGGTACCAGAAGGGATCAACATTAGTAGAGAGAGAAAATTGATAGGTACAATTCAGACGCACCGGGTGCCCTTGGGGGATGATAACGCTGCCTTCAGTCTGGATCACTGAGTCTGCCTCATGGGTGCCTTCTGTGGGAGGGACAGAGCGGAACAAACACACTCAGATACACTCCCAGACAGTGTTGCTGGAACAGTTTTTCATAGTGTGGGTGTTGAAGGCGGAAGCCATGTATTTGGGTTGTTATGAGTACTTCCAGCCGTGGGATGCGGCAGAACCCCTAATTCCAGCATCTGTGCTCCCAGATAACATGCACTTCTAACAGATTGAAACAGCGCAACATTACATGATAGATATACAAATACAAACGTAGTAGATTCCCTTAGTTATAATAGAAACCTAAGGAAAGCACAGAGAGACAATATAAACATATTAGACACACTAGCAACATAATTTAATTCGGATATAGCAGAAACAGCACACTGACACTCAGTCAATACAAACACAGATACAATCAGATATCATAGAAACAATATTTAAACTCGGATATAATAGAGAACAAATGACTTCAGAGATAATACAAACAATAGATATAATTAGACATAATTTAAGCATTATATATTATAAGCATTGAAACAAATTGAATGGTAAAGACAGGATAAAGACGGGGGGTCATAAAATGTGAGAAATCTGAGGAATACAATCTTACTCACTTAGAACAGACACGATTATCACAGCTGAGAGCCAAGGTAGAGTCATGCTTGGACCGAAAGATTTTTCGAGGAAACAGAGCTAATTCCGAAACCAATATCAATTTATTTATTCGGGTCTTGTTACTTCAATTTAGGGAAGGCGAGAATTTTATACTCTAGAAGGTGCCTTAGAAATATACCCGGTATCTCTGTGCTGGAGCTGCCATTTAGCTGATTAACATGGACCTAACTTCACAGAAGTGAGTCTGCTCTGTAAATGCTTCTGGATGGTGTAGTCTGGAGATGGGAGCGGTTGAGGGGCAGAGTTTGGGGGAGGGGGTTGCTGGCAGGAGACTACTCAGGGGAGGAACAGAATCGGATCATCTCATTGGTGTGTTTTTCCAGATCAACTCTGCCTCCGCATGGCAAAACGCCTAAAGTAGTAGGAGACAAGGTGGGTGAGGTAACACCTTGTATTGTACCGACTTCTGTGGATGAAAGAGAGACAAGCTTTCGAGACCTGCTGTCTCACCCACAGAAGTTGGTCCAGTAGAATATCTTTACCTCACCTATCTTGTCTCTCTGATATCCTGGGACTGACAGGGCTACAGCTACTCTGCATAAACCAGTGAGAAATATTTTAGCAGAATCGGATTGCCTGATAGTTTGCTGTCAGAATCTCCGGAGGAACAATGGTGGTTATAACTGACGCAAGGCAATGCCTGGTGTTACATAGACAGACAAATGCTTTATATCTATGTAGTATATTAACTCACCCACATTTGTCTCTGTGTATATGTCCTTTTCACTGTAACATCCCCCCACACACACACAAACCCTTTTCTCTTTAGATGCTTACCTGCCTTTTCTGCATAGTACATTTTTCCTCCCAGAACACAGGCGTCCCCAGCTTTTATCAGAGTGAATGGGAGTTTTGTGCTTCGGATTGTTTCATACTTTGCAGTGAAAGCTGTGTTTCATTGCGTTCCCCATAATTGTCTAGCAGGAAAAATCCTGGATTAGAGCAAACAATGGAATCGTAGATCCCAGCGGATACACCTATATGGTCTCCTGTATGGAGTAACCGCTCTAGCCCCCGACTCCTTTACGAATAAAGTCCCCTCCGGCTCAGTGCTGGAAGCCGGGACTTTGAGTCCTTCAAAGATGAAGTCGGGCCCCTGGCTGGGGAGTTGCCGGCACCAGAATATCCACTCACTTCTCATGGAGAGATGAGAGCAGGTGAGGTTCCACCTAGCTCCCTCCGAAGCTCCTGCAGGGACTGGCTGCCGGATTTCTGTACTGCCCGGGGCCACCTGGGAAAGAGAAGTTGGCACCGAATTCACCCACATACAACCCTTAGGGGCCAATCACTCAATTGCATTCTCCCTCCCCCTCCCCCGCCCCAACCGCATTGTAAGGAGGCAAGATTCTAATCCGGATTAGTGAATTGGGACCGGGCTGGGGAGGAAACCTCACTCACTTAGAGCAAACACCGTTAAGGCAGTTGCTATCCAGCGTGACAGCATGGTGAGGTTTTCAGGGAGGCTGGAACACCACTGGGCTGGGCCTCAGACCCAGCTAGGGCGAACAGGACTGTCTCTATCCCGCAGCTCCAGAGAACAGAAAATTATTTAAAGAAAAAACCCTTGTGTCTTTTGTCTTGAAGCTGCCACCCGCCGGGATCACCCGCAGAGTGGACTGCACAGCCGTGAGTGTCTCTTCTCTGTAGGAGGCTGCCCGAGGGTGGTCTGGTGTGAAGGGCAGAGACTGGGGTGGGTGGCTGTCAGAGATGAAAGTAAGCCAGTAGGTCTGGTAGGGCTTACCAGCAAGATCTGGTATGGCCTGCTGTACTGGACCGGCTTCCCCAGGCCAGCGATTTAAAGGGCCTGGGGGGCTCCGCGCAGCAGCCGGAGCCCCGGGCCCTTTAAAATGCCACCAGAGCCAGGCTGCCAGAGCCCCTTTAAATGGCCCTTTAAATCACCGCTGGAGGCCCCAGCTACCACTGCTACCCCGGAGGCGATTTACAGGGCCTGGGGCTCCAGCCGCTGCGGGGAGTCCCGGGCCCTTTAAATCGCCGCTGGAGCCTGGGCAGCTCGGGAGTTCCCAGGCACCTCTGCAGCTGGTAGCTCCCGGGGGTGATTTAAAGGGCAGGGGGCTCCCAGCCGCCACCACAGCCCGAGTCCCCCTGGCCCTTTAAATCTTGATTTAAAGACCGCACCTCTTCTGGTTGAGGCCCAGCCCCTGCTCAGGACTTCGGGGCATACCCTGAAATCCTTTAAATTACTTTCACCCTGGTGGCTGTTCAAGGGAAGGCAGAGCGCCAGAGGCAGAAGAATACGGTCCTTTCTATTATTTTTCTAACGCAACACCCCCCCCCCCCACGTGGCAAAGTGAGCGCACAGACGGTAAATATTAGTGTGTCTGTGTTATACCCCTCCCCCGCGCTGTGTCTGTCTTGCTTGTTTCGACCAGCGGCTCTCAACCCCCCTCCCAACCTGGGATGGGGGGAGTTATTATTTTTCATTTCCTAGGCAGATTACGCAGCTCCGTTCATTTTTCCCCTTTTTCCTGAGCTGATGGTGAATTTTGCTCTGACATGTCCTAAAATCCTGGGCCGGAGAAGAAAGAGGCGATTTCATGCTGGTTTCCTGAGAGACAGTCCAGTGCAGGTTTCAGAGTAGCAGCCTGTTAGTCTGTATCCGCAAAAAGAAAAGGAGGACTTGTGGCACATTAGAAACTAACAAATTTATTTGAGCATAAGCTTTACTGAGCTACAGAATTCCTCCTCCCTCCACCCCCAGTCGCTCCTAGGAGCCTGGGATTCCTGCCACAGCCCCTGGGAGGTTTTTGCTCAACTCCCCTACCGGTCCGTGTCACTGTGTCGCTCAGGGCGCAGTAATAGGTCCCGGAGTCGCTCAGTTCGCTGGACGGTTTCCACAGGTGGAAGGATTTGTACTTTTTGTCATGGGTGGCATTGAACCCTTTGGTGATCCCTTCATCCGAGTCCTCCCTTCCCAGGTCCTTCAGGAAGAGCCTGGGGGGCTGGTTGGGGAACTGCACGTACCAGAAGAGATAGGGAGAAACAGCCTCATAGGTGCAGTTAACAACCACAGATTCTCCTCGGGAGATCAGGACGCTGCCTTTGGTTTGGGTGACTGAGTCTCCATTGGTCTGTCCTGCGCGGGGAAAATAGCGTATTGTGTGCACTGAATGTAATAGCAACAAAATAGATACACAGACACAATAAAAACAGAATAATATAAACACTCGGAGTAGAAGCACCGTATATACGGAGAGATATAACAGCAGCTTAATGATACACAAGTTAATATACATGTAACAGACACATCATGGAAACACGCTGAATATATAGAGATATAATAATATAATAGTTACACTGAGATGTAATAGAAACAGAGTAGATAGGAATAAGAACATTGTAGATGTTCAGAGATAACAGAAAGACAACAGACACAGATATAATATAAACGTATTAGGCACATTCCGATATAACAGTAACATGTTGAAAGAAAGTAACATAACAGAAATAGTACATAGAAACAGATTAGATACAGGGAGGCACAATAAATACATAATACGTGCGCTCAGATAAAATAAATACCATTGATGGAGAGAGACGTGATACAAACATACTGTACATACATTCAGATATAACAGAAACGTAACAGATCTGAGAAGACATAATAGGAATATACTGGTTCAACTCCTTTCTAATAGACATACGGTAGATACAGACATCATGTAGACATCACAGATGCACTGAGATATAATGGAAATGCAATGCATGCATAACACAGACATACTGTATAAGCACAGATATAGCGCTTTGTATTTCCATGCATAATACAGACATATAAACACACACAAGATTTTAGACACTGTTAACATCGTGAAGTATGCGGATAAGGTTATCCACTGGAAGAATACAATGGGAACAGGCTGAGGGATGGAATCTCACCCACTTAGAACAGACAGCATCAGCACAGCTGCGGCCCAAGCTAAAGGCATCCTTGGGTCTTCCTGGAATGTGGGACCGAGAGAGGGAGGGAGGGAGAGCTGGTGCCACCGACAGCAAGAACTGGTTTCTCTTTTGATCGTGGCTTCTGTAGAGGAGCGAAGGGAAGAATGTTGCCCTTTAGATGATGGTTTAGAAGAACCGATTATGTCTCTTTGGTGGAGCGCTTCTCGTTTGAATAGCCGCACAGGACTGGCTGTCTCTAGTCTCTGAAGTGCTTCAGAAATGGTACTTCTGGAGATGGAAGCTGTTTGAGGATTACAAGGGGCGATGGTGGGAGGGACCGTGGTAAGAGAGAAGCGAACTCCCCGGCCAGGAAAATACAGTGTAGTCTGTTCTGTTGTCCGGGGCAACATCGCCCTCACGTGGCAAATACAATTTCACTGTTGAGAAATTTTAGTAGCAGAAGCGAAGTTTCTCATATCTTTGCAGCCAGTAAAGCAGCCTTTTCTAGGGTGTCAGGGGGTATTTTCTCCGGCATGGTAAGGGTGGGTTTATGCAAAATCTATCTAATTATGAGATTACTCTGTGAGTGTGTGTATATACACTGTATAAACTAAACAGCCCATGCATGTATAATGTGTGGCTGTGTTTGTGTATCTATTATGCGTACCACAGGGGGACCTTCTGTTTAGATATGTTCCTGCTTTTAAGTTAAATTGTGTTGCGTCTTATTCCCCATAATGCCAGAAATCGTACACCCACTTTAAGGGAAATCACAGGGCCGACTATGAGCAGAGACGGAGAGAAATGTTATTCTTAATCCTTTTATAGAAAATACCCCCAGTCCCCATGACTTCCCAATCGCTCTCAGATCCCAGCCCGCAGGTTCCTGTAGGCGGTTTTTGCTCCGTTGCTCCCCTGATCTGTTTCTCTGTGTCTCCCACGGCGCAGTAATAGGTAGCGGGTCGCTGGCTTTATTGGAGGGTTTCCCGAAAGGGGAAGGATTTTTGCTTCTCATCCTGTGTAACTCTGAACTCTCTCCCTATCCCTTCATCCGGGTCCTCCCTTGCAATGTACCTCGGGAGCAGCCCGGAGGGCTGGCTGGGGTACTGCGCCTACCAGAAGGGATAGGAAGAAACAGACTTGTAGGTGGCGTCTGAGAAACATACTGTCTTCTTACGAGATTATAACGCTGCCTTGTTTGAGTCACTGGGTCTTCATAGGTCCCTTCTGTGCGGGGAACGAAGCAACACAGACTGAGCGTAGTGTCAAGGGAAGCAAAATAGACACTCGGAGATAACAAAATAGATGGACACAGAGCAAATAGAATCATAATAGCTAGACAAAGATAGAATAGAAACATAATAGATATACTTAGACATAATATACAGATAATAGATACATAACACCTTCACTCAGAAACAATAGAAACATCATAGATACTCTCAGATATGAGACATAATATTTGCATTCCAATATACTATAAACTTGATACTCATAACAGATATATAGACCAGACACAGCTACTAGAAACATAATCGATACATACATAGGTAATGGAAACATGAAATATATAATGATATAATAGAAACATAGCCATTATACTCACATAATAAACACATCATAGATATATTCAGGTGTAACGCACACATAGTAGATACAAATATATTCGATACATAATAGAACAGGAGGACTTGTGGCACCTTAGAGACTAACCAATTTATTTGAGCATGAGCTTTCATGGGCTACAGCTCACTTCATCGGATGCATAGAATGGAACCTAGAGTAAGAATATATATATCTTATATACATACAGAGAAGGTGGCTAATGACAGTTTGTATGGCTACTTCCACCTTCTCCATATGTATATAAGATATATATATTCTTACTCTAGGTTCCATTCTATGCATCCGATGAAGTGAGCTGTAGCTCACAAAAGCTTATGCTCAAATAAATTGGTTAGTCTCTAAGGTGCCACAAGTCCTCCTGTTCTTTTTGCGAATACAGACTAACATGGCTGCTACTCTGCAACCATACATAATAGAGACACTCAGATTTCACAGAAACTTAATAGATACACTCAGGTGCAACCTACATATAATGGATACACACATATATATTCGAAACATAATACAGACACTAATATCATTGAAATATAATAGATACAGACTTAAATATTAGAAACATTCTAGATAGACACAAATAAAAACACAATACGTATACTCAGACAACATGAACATAACATATATATGCAGATATATTACACACATCCTGGATGCACACAGAAATATTGGACACAGGATAGATAAACTCAGAGATAATGACCACAGACCAGAATTTAGGCTTTGAGACAAATGCAGTGATAGAGACAGGGTTATCTCATTGAAGAAAATACTTTTTTCTCAGGTTTCAGAGTAACAGCCATGTTAGTCTGTATTCGCAAAAAGAAAAGAAGTACTTGTGGCACCTTAGAGACTAACCAATTTATTTGAGCATGAGCTTTCGTGCGCTACAGCTCACTTCATCAGATGCATACCGTGGAAACTGCAGCAGACTTTATATATACACAGAGAATATGAAAGAATACCTCCTCCCACCCCACTGTCCTGCTGGTAATAGCTTATCTAAAGTGATCATCAGGTTGGGCCATTTCCAGCACAAATCCAGGTTTTCTCACCCTCCACCCCCCCCACACACAAATTCACTCTCCTGCTGGTGATAGCCCATCCAAAGTGACAACTCTTTACACAATGTGCATGATAATCAAGGTGGGCCATTTCCAGCACAAATCCAGGTTCTCTCACATCCCCCCACCCCCATACACACACAAACTCACTCTCCTGCTGGTAATAGCTCATCCAAACTGACCACTCTCCAAGTTTAAATCCAAGTTAAACCAGAACATCTGGGGGGGGGGGGGCTAGGAAAAAAGAAGGGGAAATAGGCTACCTTGCATAATGACTTAGCCACTCCCAGTCTCTATTTAAGCATAAATGAATAGTATCCAATTTGCAAATGAATTCCAATTCAGCAGTTTCTCGCTGGAGTCTGGATTTGAAGTTTTTTTGTTTTAAGATAGCGACCTTCATGTCTGTGATTGTGTGACCAGAGAGATTGAAGTGTTCTCCGACTGGTTTATGAATGTTATAATTCTTGACATCTGATTTGTGTCCATTTATTCTTTTACGTAGAGACTGTCCAGTTTGACCAATGTACATGGCAGAGGGGCATTGCTGGCACATGATGGCATATATCACATTGGTGGATGTGCAGGTGAACGAGCCACTGATAGTGTGGCTGATGTTATTAGGCCCTATGATGGTGTTCCCTGAATAGATATGTGGGCACAATTGGCAACAGGCTTTGTTGCAAGGATAAGTTCCTGGGTTAGTGGTTCTGTTGTGTGGTATGTGGTTGTTGGTGAATATTTGCTTCAGGTTGTGGGGCTGTCTGTAGGCAAGGACTGGCCTGTCTCCCAAGATTTGGGGACAATGTATACCTTCAGATCAGCGGCACTGCTATGGGTACCCGCATGGCCCCACAGTATGCCAACATTTTTATGGCTGATTTAGAACAACGCTTCCTCAGCTCTCGTCCCCTAAAGCCCCTACTCTACTTGCGCTATATTGATGACATCTTCATCATCTGGACCCATGGAAAAGAAGCCCTTGAGGAATTACACCATGATTTCAACAATTTCCATCCCACCACCAACCTCAGCCTGGTCCAGTCCACACAAGAGATCCACTTCCTGGACACTACAGTGCTAATAAACAATGGTCACATAAACACCACCCTATACCGGAAACCTACTGACCGCTATTCCTACCTGCATGCCTCCAGCTTTCACCCTGACCACACCACACGATCCATCGTCTACAGCCAAGCTCTGCGATACAACCGCATTTGCTCCAACCTCTCAGACAGAGACAAACACCTACAAGATCTCTGTCAAGCTTTCTTACAACTACAATACCCACCTGCAGAAGTAAAGAAACAGATTGATAGAGCCAGAAGAGTTCCCAGAAGTTACCTACTACAGGACAGGCCTAACAAAGAAAATAACAGAACGCCACTAGCCCTCACCTTCAGACTCCAACTAAAACCCCTCCAACACATTATTAAGGATCTACAACCTATCCTAAAGGATGACCCAACACTCTCACAAATCTTGGGAGACAGGCCAGTCCTTGCCTACAGACAGCCCCGCAACCTGAAGCAAATACTCACCAACAACCACATACCACACAACAGAACCACTAACCCAGGAACTTATCCTTGCAACAAAGCCTGTTGCCAATTGTGCCCACATATCTATTCAGGGGACACCATCACAGGGCCTAATAACATCAGCCACACTATCAGAGGCTCGTTCACCTGCACATCCACCAATGTGATATATGCCATCATGTGCCAGCAATGCCCCTCTGCCATGTACATTGGTCAAACTGGACAGTCTCTACGTAAAAGAATAAATGGACACAAATCAGATGTCAAGAATTATAACATTCATAAACCAGTCGGAGAACACTTCAATCTCTCTGGTCACGCAATCACAGACATGAAGGTTGCTATTTTAAAACAAAAAAACTTCAAATCCAGACTCCAGCGAGAAACTGCTGAATAGGAATTCATTTGCAAATTGGATACTATTAATTTAGGCTTAAATAGAGACTGGGAGTGGCTATTTCCCCTTGTTTTTTCCTCCCCCCCCCCCCAGATGTTCTGGTTTAACTTGGATTTAAACTTGGAGAGTGGTCAGTTTGGATGAGCTATTACCAGCAGGAGAGTGAGTTTGTGTGTGTATGGGGGTGGGGGGATGTGAGAGAACCTGGATTTGTGCTGGAAATGGCCCACCTTGATTATCATGCACATTGTAGGGAGAATGGTCACTTTGGATGAGCTATTACCAGCAGGATAGAGAGTTTGTGTGTGTGGTTTTTGGGAGGCGGGTGAGGGGGTGAGAGAACCTGGATTTGTGCAGGAAATGGCCCAACTTGATTATCATGCACATTGTGTAAAGAGTTGTCACTTTGGATGGGCTATCACCAGCAGGAGAGTGAATGTGTGTGTGGAGGGTGAGAACCTGGATTTGTGCTGGAAATGGCCCAACCTGATGATCACTTTAGATAAGCTATTACCAGCAGGACAGTGGGGTGGGAGGAGGTATTGTTTCATATTCTCTGTGTATATATAAAGTCTGCTGCAGTTTCCACGGTATGCATCCGATGAAGTGAGCTGTAGCTCAGGAAAGCTCATGCTCAAATAAATTGGTTAGTCTCTAAGGTGCCACAAGTACTCCTTTACTTTTTTCTCAGGTTGTCTAATGGAATCTTACTCTGCACAAACAGGATCAGAATAGCCAAGACTGAAACCACTGTGCTCAGTC